TAACAAATCTAAGATATTCTTCTCTAAAACACCAATTTGAATATTCATAATGAAATTTGTGCTAAGCTTAGCTATGAGAAAGTTTCGGACATGGGGGTGTACCTCGGGACTCGAATTTTGATCGAATCACTTAAGTTTATTCTGTTGAGTATCCCTTCCTATCTGATGCAATCGCGTAAACTTCCGGCTAGCTTATGTGACAAGATGTTTGTCGTTTCATATGGGTTCATGTTTTGAATCTCACCGTATTCACCTGGTTAATTGAAACACCGTTTGTCAACCGGCTTCTTGTGGAGGTCTGGGAATTCATAAAAACCCATAATACAAACTCTACTTTTCTCATGAAAATCTGCAATGCTCTCACTCAATTCCCTAATGCTTATTAGGTAAGACTTCTACTTGAAAATATAGGATGTCTTCTCTTTGTCCGGAAACAATTGTGTGGGCAAATTGCTTTTTGTTTTGGCGCTCCCTTACTGGTGTTTGGGCTCAATTTTATGCCAACGTCGCTTGGTCAATTGGAGATGAGAAAACAATTCGATTCGGGAAGGATAATTGGTTACCAACTGTAGGCTGCATCCATCACTTTGCTAACCCAGGTATCGATGTGAATGAAGAGCTATATGTTAGTGATGTTTTCTCAAACGATGGTGAGTGGAATCAGTCGTTACTTCATCTTCTGGTTAACCAAAAAGTTCTTCCCCACATCTAAGCTACAACAACTCCAAATCTTTTGCTTGGCTCAGAATATTGCTGCTTTTGATTGAATGAAACTAAAATAATTTTTACCATTAAAGTGCTTATAAGCTACTGTCTGAACCCCACTGGAATAATCCTGGTCGTCATTGGAAATAAATTTGGAAGCTTCATGTTCCTAAAAGCATTGGTAACTTCTTAAAGCTTGTCATGAATGATAAAATTCTTTCAAATCATAACCGATGCACTAGAGGTTTATGCCAATCTTTCTCTTGTCCGATATGTAATGATCCAGACGAAACCGCGCTACACATCCTCCGTGACTGTCCAGGGGTTCGTTCTCCATGGAATGAATTGTTCCCTTCTCTCCCATGTTCAGATTTTTTTGATCTTCCACTTGATGACTGGCTTCTCGTTAATCTTACTTCTTCATCCCAGACTGCAGCTTTCGACTGTCCTTGGAATATTTTATTTGCTTCAATTCTATGGCAGGCGTGGAAGAGGCGAAATGCTCATCTATTCCAGGCTATTTCTCTTCATCCCACCACTATGCTTCATAATAGCACTACTTGGGCTAAACATCATTCAGGTTCAATAAATTTTGTTGCTCACAATGCATCACCAGGCGAAAATTAATCCAATGGTCGCCTTCTAGCCTTGGAGAGGTCTATCTCAACTAGGTTTCAAATCGCGGACGCGTTTTTCGTCATTTCGTGTTTACCGCGATTGCGGCCATAGTGGGCGCTATTGCGACCGTAGCGGGCGCTATTACGGGTGTAGCGGGTAATTCGGACGGCGACGCTACCGCTATTTCGCGGGCGCTATCATATTTTCGGACCGCAATTTGAAACTCTGGTCTCAACACTGATGGAGTGATTTTGCTTTCGACGAATCTTAGATCAACGAGTGGCTTACTGCGTGATCACGAGGCCAGCTTCCTCTTGGCATTCTCTAAAATCTAAGTGCAACCTCAGTTCTCCGGTCTGAGTTTTGGGGTGTTTTTGAAGGCTTAAAGCTCACTTGGTCAAATGGCTTTGAAAGAGTTTGGTTCAAATGGATAATGCTGATGTCTATAAACTTCTCTCGCCTCCCTCTCCTGTCAGTCTCTACTCTCTAGTTCGCTACATTGTTCATCATATCAACAGAGCTTGAAGTGTTGATTTTCACTTCACAAAGCGTGAGGCAAATGAAGCAGTGGACTCCATGGCTAAATTCCATGCTACATCCGGTAAATCTCTCTTGGTATTGAATCGCTCTTCCGAAGCTTTGGTTTCTATTTTGGATAGAGATTTGCATGATACTCCTCACATGCGTGTAAAAGGATAATATACTGGCCTCGGGCTCACTTCATATTGAAAAAAGCATGGTTGTGATTTTTACCTTACGAAAACATATTGATTGACATTCAATGGTAAAGATACATTGGATATATTGCTGAAAATTGGAATTAAGCACCCCCATAAATGGATGAATATTTTTAGTTAATACTCCATCTCATGAATTACACTCTAGATCATACAATTACTAAATTAATTGCAAATAACTCGCATCTTAAAAAATTATAATTGAATTAATTTAAATATTATTAAAAATAAATCATAATATTTTTAATAGTATATTATACTATTGTTAACATCAAAAGCTTTGGAATTAGTGACAAAATATGTTAATTTTGAGTTTCTCATGTATTATATTATTTATTTATTATTTTAAATATTTGAAAATAATCTTTTTTAAATATTTATTGAGTGATTAACGATAAAATTAGTATATATATATCTTCAATGCTGCGCGACCGATCATTTGATTGTGTCTTGACATGTATCATACCAGTTTATTTTTTAGATAAAATTTATATAATTTTTTTCTTATCTAATAATTCTTTTTTCTTTAACAACAGTAAAGGATACCAAATAATCTAAAATGATTAAAATATTTGGGGTAAAAAAAACTGAGAAAGTATGGTGTGAAAATAAATTTTAAAAAATATTTTTCAGATTTTATTCATTATTATTATTATTAAAATATTATTAAAAAATATTTATTTTGAATATTTTGTTATAAATTTAAAAAATACATAAAAATTATAATATACGTGTTTTATAAATATATAAAATTTATGGTAAATTACATCATTGACCACTTAACTATTTAGCCCTTTTACTTTACCACCAATCTTTTAGTTTTGTCAATCGAATCACTAAACTATTTAATTTTTCTCAATCAAGTCATTCGCCGTTAATATTTAAAAGAAGTGTTGATGTGACATGAACCAAGTGACCTTAGTGGTAAAGAAATTGTTGGTATTCCTTGAGGACCTGGGATCGAGCACCATGAATGTCAGAAGTGTGAACGTTCAATGTCAAAAGATTGAAAGTTATCTTAGAATAAATATTATCTTCTACTTACCTCATATTAATAAAAAGAGTGTTGATGTTAACAAAATTAGTATATATATATATATATATATATTTCAATACTTTACATTCTATCAATTTGATCCTACTTTTAACTTTTAATAAATTAAATTATTTATCTTTCAATAGATGATCACACATATCACCAATAGATTAAATGATTTTCTATAATTTTATTTTATTTTATTTTATTTATTTATTTATCTTCCAATCAAATCAAATGGCGATTCTTGTCGAAGGAAAATTAAATTACAAAGAAGGGGTAACGAAAGGGTGCATTAAAAATCAAATATAGGACCTAAGATCAAAGCGCACACACCTAACCACTAAGCCAACAAGGTTTGGGTTAAGATTTATAGAATAATATATATATATATATATTATAAAGTAGTTAATGTTATAAAAAAATAAAAGAAAAATAGCAATGGAGGAGTTTGAACTTAGACCACATGAAAAACTTATGAAAATCTTACCGCTAAGGGCAAACCTTACATTAGAATAATTGTTGGATAGATTTAATTTATATATTAAACACTAGTTTATATAATATTAAAAGAAAAATTAAATTTAAAATTTATATATTTTTAAAATAAATTTTCTTTTTCTTTTTATAATTCAATGATTATATATAATCTCAAATCGAGTCTTTGTAATTTATTTAATGATTTTATTTTTATTCAAAAATAATATATATGAATTATTTATATTTAGTTAAATATTTATTAGATTATGTAGTTTTAAATTTGTAATTTAAAGTTGATTTTAATTATATTAATATTATAATTTAAATTTCACATTTTAAAGTACACAATCTAATAAAAAAATATAAATGAATCATACATTTTATTTTTATTAAAACATAAAATCAATAAATAAATTAAAAAAACCCAGTTTAATATATAAATTTATTTTAAAAATATATAAAATTTTAAATTTATTTTTTTAATAATATATAAATCTTTGTTAAATATAGAATATATCTAACTATTATTCAAATATAAGGTTTGGTTAAGTGGTATGGCGTTTTTATGGTCTTGATTTGGCCTAGGATCAAGTCATGGTTTTGTTTTTTTGGCATTAACTACTTTTTGAAATATATTCACTATGTTTTATTAAATGTGTTTCTTTTGGTTTTAAGATTGTTTTATAATATTCTATTAGAAAAGTCAATAAATAAAAACATTTATATTTTCTTTTTTTATCTATATGTTTTACTCTTTTATACCTATTAAAATACATATGTCAAATTTATCAATCATCTTTTAAGGATAATTTTATTCTTTTTTTTATCGAAATATCTTATAAAATTATATATATAATCAATATAAGACATAAATTTTGAGACTAGAAAAGTATATATTATTATGTAAAACATAACCCAATTGTGGAGTTTGACTTAGTGGATGCACGAACTTTTGTTCCTTAAGTTTTAGGTTCAATTCCTCCCAACCCCATCATTTTGTCTGCCTTTCTTTGCAACTTAATTTTCCTTTAATCACACATGTCAACATCAAATTGGAAGATAAATAATTAAATTAAATTAAATTAAATAAATTTAAATTATAAAAATTATTTAATCTAATGTAATATGTGTCACCATCTAATTAGATAATTAAATTTATTCAATTAAAAATAAAACCAATTTAATAGAATATATAAATATTGGGAACCAAATGTATAATTATATCAATTTTGTTAACTATCACATCAACACATCTATTAAATATTAACAATAAGTGACTTGATTGAAAATAATTAAATAGATTATTGATCAGAGTGATAAAACTAAAAGATCAATAATAAAAAAAAAATAATAAAATAATTAAGTAGTCAATGGTATAATTACCTCCAAAGTTTAATACCAATCATCAATAAGGAAGAAGAGGAGAGAGGAGAGAGCTGCCACAAATACCATACCAGATCATCTCTCTCTCTCACTCTCCCCCTTTATCAAATATCATGGCGGTAATTTCCCTTTTATTTTCGTTCATTTTTATCCCACGCTTGTTTTTTTTTAAGATCCATTCATCTTTTGTTTCATCGTTTTTAATCTTATATATTCTTGTTTTTAATATCTTCTGTTGAATCTGCTTCTTCTTCCTCGTCTCCTTTTTATTTATTTTTTCATAATGAATTTTGTTCATCATGTTCTTTTCTTAAGTTGATTGCGGTTCAAGATTTCAATCTTACAAAAATTAATTGTTACTCCACCATAGTTGTTCTTGTTCTTGTTTCCTCTCCCAGCTTTTATTTTTACGGATTATGCTTCAAATTTATCTAAAAATATTTGTTTTAGAAAAAAAGTATGTAGTCGCGGTTCATCATTTGCGCTTATTTATGCGTATCTAATTAATATATGATAGAAGAAACATATGAATTCATTTTTCTGGCATTTAAAGGAATTGGATACACAGCTATCATTTTGTTTCAAATACAATTGTTTCTCTTTTCCCATCGAAGATTTCGTTGTTTGTCTTTTCCATTTGTGTATGTATTTCCTAACAATCCTAATCCAAGTTAGAGCTCGGAACTTTAGCCAATTTGATTACACGAATAAATGGTATTGTGCTTATTTATCTAGGGTGTCCAAGGATGGATAGGGTGCCACTCTCAAAATTTCAAATTATCGTATAATTTATGTATTTTCTTTTGATGGTCCCGTCAAATTTTATAAGTTCGCCCCCAAGATGTCATTTGTGCACTCTTATTCTGACATTGGTTATAGGAATAAGTGATATGTTCGAACGGTGTCCATGTTTTCAATTTTATCGTAATCTTGCTTCATATCATGTGCGTTCAACATTTTCTTTTAATTCCCTCATTGCTTAGAAGTAACAAGTACTGTTATGTGTATTTCTAATCTACACATTCGATTCGAAGGCCATCTTCATGAACCAGCTGTATTTTATTATGTTACTTCTCTTGAATGGTTAAATCTGATGATTCGAGATCTAGAATTTAACTAGGTTGAGCTGTTTCATGAATGTAACAATTGGTGGCAAGTTTCTTTGAGATGATGGATCCATTGAATGAGGTGTTATGGCATACAGGATAAGGGTCGACCATTGCCCAAGTTTGGTGAATGGGATGTGAATGACCCTGCGTCAGCTGAGGGGTTTACAGTTGTCTTCAACAAGGCTCGAAACGAGAAAAGGACAGGCGGGAAGGTCGAGTCGCAAGGGACAAATGACCCTGCATGCAAGCAGGATGCTGGTTCTGGAAAGCCGCAAGTAAGTAGTAATCCTGCTTATGCCGCAAGCAAGATCCCTATTATGCTTATTTTGATAATGATCACAAGTAGCTAGCTTGTTAGTGCAATGCGTTATCTTGTTTTCAGTGGCCGAGACCTTTTGATCAAGTGCAGATATGCATGTTTATCGATTCACTTTCAAATTCATCGATCTTGGTACCGTGTCATGATATCTATCGATTCACGATATTGAATTTTATTCTTTTGTGTTCCGAAATACATCAGAAAAGATGGTTTTGCTGTGCACGAGCTACTCGTGAAGATTAAAGTAGATGGCTTTTACGGCGTTAAGAACCGCCAAGAGAGATGACATTATATATCTACACCAAGCCCTTACCTTTTTCGAAATAATCTAGAAGACTGGAGCCGCATCGGAAGCTATGATAGGTCCTGCTGGAATCGGCTGCTTAGAGGTATGGTGATGGCGATAAATAAACAATGCTGTTTGTCATAATCATTTTTTATAAATTAAATTAAATATAATAATGATTGACTTTATTTTGAAAATTTTGGATTTTTGTTTAAATTAAAAAATAGAGTCACCATCGAACAATTTTAAGAAAAATCATTTAAAAAGATAAATTGACTTGAGTTTTACCAGAAATTCATTTTTAAGGATTTAAGATTTGGTTACGCGTAGGGAAAGGTGAGCACTCTCACAGTGCCCAAAATTATTACCTCTCGATTATATGTTGTCTAAGTACTGAAACTTTATATATTCAAAATAAGAATTTAAATTATTATCCTTTTATTTCGATGAATTTTAAAAATAAGTGAATTTCTTTAAAAAAAAATAGTCGACTCAATGAAAAGTATTTAACTCACTCGATTTCATTTAAAAAGTATGTTTCATTTAATAAGTGAATTAATGAAAATTGAAATTCAGTCATATTGAACATAATTCCATTAACCTGTGATGCAAGACATCATTACCTTTGATGATTTTATAAAACAAGAAAAGTAATTTGTGAATACAACAATATTAAATGATGTGTATAAGATAGATAAAATTTAAATATAACATAAAAAATGACACACTTAATATTTACATTTATTAAAATTTAAAATTTTGGTAGGATATATTTTTACTCTGTGTCATAAGGGATTGCAATCTAGGTTTTTGGATGTTTCCCATAAATCACTCTTCGTTCGAGACGTAACCACAAAATAAAATATAATTTATTTTTATTAGAATAATTTTATTATTAAAAGTACGAGTGTATATATGAAAAAAATAGTATATTTACTTAAAATTAAATAAAATATGGTTTATATATATATATCCATATATTAAAAGAAATACTATAAAATATAAAAATGTGACCTTTTTATTCAAGTAACCCTTAGAAGGGCACTCCGGGTATTTAGAGGTTTTTCTAAGTTAGTTAAACAATAAAAGTTTTGTAAATATTAAAATATTAAAAAGGATATCTTTATTTATAATAATAATAATAAAAGAGTCTCTCTTAATAAAATATATATACCATACTAAATCATATATTTAATATTAAATATTTACAACCGTATTTTAAGATATTATTTAAAATTATAAAATGTATATACATGTATTAAAATGTGAGAACTAAAATGAAGATAATAAAAAATACATGGACCACATACATTAATTTATCATTTTAAGAAAAAGGACTAAATCATAAATAGCAAGGATAATTATGACTCGACATGCAAAAAAGCCAAACATTATATGTTAAATATTCAAAAGGGTAACTAGAACAGACGAATCAACCAACAACTAGTTGATCAAGTGAGATGTGACATTAGGTCCCTTAAGCAAGGCCAATGGTTCGAATCCCGACGTTTATGAATGGAACAAACTGGGTTAGGAGGGTCGCCCTTGTCTTTGCAGTACCTGATCTGAATTAGTTAATTAATAGATCGGATACCAGTGATTAATTAAAAAAACAGACAGGGATCAAGACACAAATGTAAATAAATTAAAGGCTTAATTCTCAAATAAGTGCCCAAACTATGCTTTTTTGCAAAATAAGTGTCTAACGTTATAAACGTTACCCTTTTAGGTGCATCTGTCGTTAATGCCATTAGTTTTCTTCGTTAAATGCCACGTGTCAAGACCTGATAATTTTAAAATTTATTTTTTTATAAAAAAATATTAAAAATATTATATGTTTATAAAAAACTCTTAACTTTTCTTATATTATAAAACAACCAAAAAATACTAAATCATAACCTTAATACGTAGCTGACATCTTCTCTGGCCACCAATGCCGTCACCGACTTAGTCCTTAACATCATCCTAGTTATATAATGTCATAGATGTCACTGATTAACCGTCGAAATCGCGTGGGATCACGATTTTTTTCTTAGGGTTTATGAGATTTAAAATGTCGATTTGTGGTCGATTGATCGTCAACCGATCACAATTTCATAGGAGTTGTGGTCATCGGAGGAAGGGGAGATCTGGTGGAACTTTTTTGACGATAAAAGGCGACGATCGACGTGGGGTTAGAAGTTAAAATGAAAGTTTTTAAAGTTTAAAGGTTATTTCAAATTTTATGTTTTTTTTTTTAAATATATAATTTTATTTTTAAATTTATATAAATTTTTTAAAATTATCATGTGTTAACACGTCACTTAACGACGAAAACTAACGGCGTTGACGACTTGGGCACCTAAAAGAGTAACCTTTGTAACGTTAGACACTCAAATGGGCCAAAAAAACTGTAGGTACTTATTTGGCAAAAAAGGATAGTTTTGGCACTTATTTGAAAATTAAGCCTAAAGTAAAAGTCCCGAAATGCAAATAAACCAAATTTCATTCATGACCAAAGTGAAAACAATACAAAATATGAACCTTCCTCGAGCAAATATCCCATATTTCCTAAACATGGACTTTCCTAGTTCTGTACATACACAATTAATTACACACGACAATTTTAATAATAAAAAAAAACTAAGACCTTATTATGGCTTAAATCTAACCTAACCTAACCTAACCTTACCATTTTGATTCTCTCTCTCTCGCCGTTCACTCTTCTCTTCCTCTCATTTTTTTTGTTATGATAAAAAGGAAAAACAAAACCCTAACCGGACACCATGGAAGTTCTCTACGGTTGCCGTGAATCAACCCCGATCAGGGGTAAATCGGTCCCAACCGAACCCTTACTCCTCCCTAGTTTGAATCTAAAGCCTCATTTTGCTAGAAACAAACCACCAAATCTACATCTAAAAATTTACCTTCGATTCTTGGAATATTCCGACTCCGGCGAAAGGACCACCGTGACCGCCGAAGGAAAAGAGAAGGCCTCTCTTCTCCTTCTCTCTCTCCTTCCTTTTCTTTTATTTACAATTTTTTTTCTTGTTCTCTGATTTTTTTGATTCAGATTCCTCCTCTTATTCGATTGTTTTTTTTTCAGGTTATATAGATGATTTGGTCGGCCATCATTTCTCTGTGTTTTCCGACTTTACTCAGGTTTAGGGTCGGGTGGTCTTTGTTGGGCCTATTGTATTGTAGCATTGGGGCTGGGTTGGTGGGCTGGTTGTAATCTACAAAAATGATATTTTAAAATATATTTAAAAAAATAAAGAAAGGTGGACGAAGATTGGTGTCGAACACTGTTCTTATGTTTATGTGATACCGGTTGCTTGTTACTGAAGTTTTGATGCCCGCTTTAATACAATGCTAGATTTGATGCCTGGCTTATGCCCGCGATTGAATTGAATTTTTAACAATTATTGTTTTAAACATTTTATAAGAATTATTATTATTTGAAATTGGACTGACCCTACAAAAATATTTTCTCTGTATGCCAAAGCAGTATTGTTGAAATTGGACTGTACTGGTTGGTTGATTTGGTTGAACCTACACCCTATATACTGAAATCTTTCATTAATTGAACGGGTAGAAACTGATTTAATTAGTAAAAATTTGGTAAAAATCGGGTGAAATAAGTTTTTTTTTTTTTAAATTGCATCTATTTCAATTAGTTTCTTATAATTCTTGAGTTTTTTTTGGGCGGGGACCTGTATATTTTTTTAAATATACACTATATTTAATTTAAGTGAACATTTAAATTTTCATTCAAATGGATTGGAATTTAAAATTTAATTGTGGGTGAGTTTATGGAGGTACTAATTTGCATTAAAAAATGTGGATTTAAGGATCTATTTTGTTTTGATTATTTGAATTATAAGAAATTATAATTTTGTGGTTAATGTTTGGGTCCAATAAAGGAAAAAGAGTACCCAAAAATACATTAATCACGTAAAATGATATTGTTTGTTACATCAACCTTAATGAAATTACGATAATCGATATCAAAGAAAAATATAACATGATGCAAGAAAATTTGCTTAGCTAAAACATGATGCAAGAAAGCTTGCTTAGCTAAAACATGAGCCACTCTATTGATCTCCCGACTTATATAAACCACCATACAACTAAGAAACTGGTCACATTGATGACGAATAGAATGTAAATAAATTCCGATTATAGACTAGTTTAACTATGCATTATTAAATTTATTCACAACCATAGCCAAGCCAAGTTCAAAGACATGAGTTGACGTTATTTACAAATCCACTTTTTTCTCCTAATTTTCGATATCAGTGTTCAATCAATTAATTTGGTTAACTACTTGAATCGAACAATTCAAATTTTTTAACCGAATTTTTTTAATTGTTAATCGAATAATTTTTTTTCAAAAACTTTTAATTAAACTAAACTAAGTTCGGTTAATTTGGTCAGTTAATTGAATTAATCAAATTTATAAATAATATATATTATACATTAAATATTTAATATTTTCAATTAAGTTGATTGGTTAATCGATTAAAACCGAAATTTAAAAATTCCTAAAGCTAAGTAAATAATAGATTAAATATTTAATAATTTCGGTTAATTCGCTCAATTATCAATTTCGAACCGAATTAATCGATAACCGAAATTTAAAAAACCATTAATTGATAACTGACTGATTAACAAAAAAAATTCAATTCGACCGATAATTCAATTTTAACCGAATTATAAACACCCCTTTTTCGATTTACCATTCATCTCTCTCCGCTTTCTTTACTATACCAAAACCTACCAATTCATGATGCTAGAGAGAAATTTTTTGAAGAATTTAATAAACTATCCACTCATACAACATACTGTGTAACAATTTGAATTCAATAATAAAAGCATTCACCATATATTGAAATCTGTAAATCAAAGTGTTCCCATCTCAATTTAAATTTATCTGTAAATCAAACAGACTATCCCCATTCCAGAAATCAAACGATCCAACTTTTAATTAAAAATCATACAGAAATGTCTTTACCAAAAAGTGCAGCTATTCCTTTTCCAGGGTCGCTTTGCTTTACTATCGACTCCCCAACCAAAACCTGCAAATGTAACATTCTTCTCTATTAGCTGTTGATACCAACCTCACATGATTTTATTTTAGAATGGACGAACTTATAAAATTATAAGGGTGAAAGTCCACTATCAATTGAAAATACAAAACAAATATCTAAAATATATAAGAATTTGAAATTTATAGAGGGCGAGTTCCTCCACCCTCTCTTCTTAGGTCCATCCCTACATGTATCTAAAACTGGGATTATTACTTCTACGAGGTTGATGATTATCCTCTTCACCTTCTAAACCTTCCTTAAACTAACTCAGTGTTCAACCCCATGCCAAAAGATGTTTCAATTGTTCCAACTCTAACAATGTTCACATGCAACATATAGTAAAAATACTTTCTTATTGCTCCAAGATATTCAAGATAAAAAACATGCTTAATATCATGCACAGGATGCAAATTGCTTAGTGTAACTTACCGCTTTAACACCGGCTTCTTGCACATAAGCAACATGATCCGGTGTAAATAGTCCAGATTCTCCTACAACCTGATGTGGTAAATTTAACAATAGATTATTTAAACAACACATTGTAATTGCATGGACAGGAAATAACTTTTTATCTTTTAATGTTTATTGAAATGAATATGGTGAAGGTCGTTCTGCTTTCAATTAAAAAATGAAAAAGGATCACTTACAATTATATCTTTCTGACGGATCAATTGGCCACGCTCGCCTTCAAGAAGCTTCTTTGTGTTACTGATATCTACCTCAAATGTTACTGAAGACAAAAAAATGGGAAATCATTGAAGCCTCTTAAATATGGATCACGGTCTATATGGTATAGACAAAGGCTAACAAGTTTGTGGCAGACTCACTCTGGTCTGTAATATGGTATAAGGAAACAATATGACACTTCAATTGTGAACGTTATAGTCATAGGTAGACTACAGACATTTCAGATATTAATATACATGAAAAACAAATAATTCCCAATACTTATTTAAAGCCATCAAGTTTATATCACCCAAATTTAGCTGTGCAGACGAGATTTTGTTTTCTCAAGACTCAAGAGATACAAAGATTTCGTGAGGGACCGATAATATTGACTGAGGACACCTATGATGGGGACCAATAATACACAACAAGGTTCTTGCAAGGCGGAATGAATCAGTTAACACACTTTGTGCACATTCTTAGACGGGTCTATAAGTTACAATAAAGAAGAAACTTTAAATTACAGGGATCAGAAGTCTAACGAGTCAAATCAATTATCAATTGAAGAAAATTGCAAAACCTTACCAAGGTTACGATTATTGATACCAATAAGTTCAATCCCTTCTATACAAAGAACACGATCCATTTCCCTCTCACCATGCACCTAAAAGAACACCGAAGAAACAATAAAGCATATGAATATTGGAAAGAAATATCTATATATGAAATTTAGTAAAACTAAAAGCTCATTATGAAGCCATGGGTTCAGTTATATAACTCATCAAAGACTCAAATATGCTTTCTAATTGAAATGAGTGGGGAAGAGATTTCAAAGTACTCTATAAATTATGGAAATTCAAGTCCCAAGTGAAACTCGTTTCATAACCCAAAAGACACCTCAACAATTCAAAAGCAATAGAAAATTGATAATGATAAAGAAGCTCTGCCTAACCTCGACAAGTGCAGCCAAACCAAGCATCTTGCAGATTTTAACCATATATCTGATGTCAAGATCAGGCAAAACAGCAGCAATTAAAAGTATTGCATCTGCTCCTTTGATTCGAGCATAATAGATCTGCCAAGCATCTATCACAAATTCTTTGCACAGTAGAGGACACTGTATTCATTATAAGGGAAACATTTATACAGGTTTACCAAGTGTACATATAAGTATAAATCCAGATTATAGATTGAGCAAAAATATAACTCATAACACAGACCTTTACTCCAGCATTTCTTATAGCCTCCAGATTTTCAAAGCTCCCCTTCAATGAATAGGAGGTAACATAGTTGTAAAAAGCGTGCCTGAGGCGCGCCTGAGGCGTAAAAGCGCAGAGGCTCGCAGGACGGGGCTTTTTCAACACTGAAGCGAGGCACGTAGCCTAGGCGCAGCGAGGCTCTGAGGCCGCGAGGCTCAGTCGAGGCGCAATTGAGGCGCGATGTGGGCTTAAAACATTGTAATTATTACTGCAGGGCCTTCTCTTCTATGCATACTTGGTCTGCAAAAATGAACGACCATTTTCGTTATGATTTTTTAGACAAATAAGCTTTGTAATCGTTTTTGGTCCTTTCTTCACCTAAGTTTATTTATCTATCAGTATTTGATATTTTCTTTTTTGCTCATCAAAATTTGTGACAGTCTAAAAATTAAGCAAACCTATAATAGGAATGCATTGCGATTAACTGATGAAACTCGGAAAGAAAGGGTACTTCTATGTATTAGCATAGATTAAAAAGAATGTTTAATTAACTTACTGATTAATAACTAAGTGAAGGATATAAATCTATGATTTAAAAGTTTTGTGAGTATGTATACTTAAATTATTCGAATTTTACTAAAATAATTATATTTATTTATTTTGAAATCTAATTTAATTATTCTGAAATTTACATTATACTAATTTAAATAATAATATTTCACATAACACAAATTTTAATATTAAATTTCAAAATAAATTTATCCTATCTTATCTTCATTTTAATTTTTTTAAAGAAAATATTTTATTATTATTTGAATTTGATTTGTCTTTAAGGCTCTAACTACACGTAAGAGTCTCCTTTTCTTATTTTTTCTTCTCCTTTCTTATTTAAAACCCTCAATCTACTGTCAATCAGCCTCCTAATCCATACATACTAATCTATCGATCGTTCGCTTCCTCCTTTTCTTCGACTGAAGACTGCGACGTTGAACAAGAAAGTAGCAACAATTCGATTAATCGATTCACACATTCAATTCTTCCCATAAGTGATTATGTTCTTCGATTGATCTTTCGATTTATACTGTTAACCATCTGTGTTGAAAGAATTTTGTTTTTCTGAATCAAATTCTCTTGATAATCACCACAATTCGTGCGTATGTGTTTGTTCTTGTTTTTTTTCTTTTCTTTTCTAAGTATACAGTTATTCGTAATTTCGTATGTCTGTTCTTGTTTTTTTTTCCTTTTTTAAGTATGCAGTTATTCGTTTGCGTATGTGTCTGTTCTTGATAATCACAGTTTCTCTTATTTAATTTTCTGTTTTCGTTTTTCTGGCTTCTGGGACAATATTGCAGCTGTTAATCATCAATATTTTGCTTTTGAAAAATCTGATTTGACATTATGACTTCTGAAAATCAGTCATCAACTTCTTCAAAGCAAGATATAGCTTGGAAGTATTGCATTGACATGAGCAAAGGTAAAGTAAAATGTATGTTTTGTGACAAAATCACTTCCGGAGGTATTTATAGGGCTAAACAACATATAGTGGGTGGATACCGGAATAGTACAAGATGTCTAAAATGTCCGCGAGGAGATTAGAGAATACATGGAGAAAAAGTGTCAAAATAAAAAAGAAGCGGAAGTTTTATATGATTTTGATGATGTAGACAACTTTGGGGATGACGAGGATGATGAAGTTGGTACATGTGTTCGCAAAAGTGGTAATAGTACTAGTAAAGCATCAAAGAAGCAAAAGGGCATTAAAGGACCAATTGATATGTTTTTCACCCCACCACCCGAACAAGTTGTGAAAAACAGAAAAGATGGGAAAATGAAGCAACCAAGCATCAATGAAGCATGTAAAAAACAACTACGGGAGAAAGCATGTATGGAGTTGTCAACCTGGTTCTTTGATGCTGGATTGGCGTTTAATGCAGCAAATTATGATAGTTTTAAAGTAGCAATGGAAGCGGTGGCGCATTGTGGGACGGGTTTCAAACCTCCTACGTACCACGAAATCCTAGTTCCTTTTTTAACTAAAGCGGTTAAGGCAACCGATGAGATGGTGAAACAAGTACATCACGAGCATTGGGCTAAATATGGTTGCTCAATCATGTCAGATGGATGGAGAGACTCGGTTGCATACAAAGACATTAACTTTTTAGTCAATTCTCCAAAAGGGTCGGTTTTTATCAAATCAATTGATGCTTCGGACATTGTGAAGAATACCGAACAATTGTTTATTATGCTTGATGATGTGGTTGAGGAGGTTGGTGAGAAGAATGTTGTTCAGGTGGTAACCGACAATGCTTCTGCATATGTAGCAGCAGGTGATGAAACGTCCACATTAAATTATTATATTTTTATATATTTATATAATTATATAAGACTTGAAGTTTTATACTATTTTAATTTTTATGTCTTTATAAGACGTTTATTGATGGTGAAACGTCCACATTTATACTGGACTCCATGTGCTGCTCATTATCTTGATTTGATGCTTGAAGACATAGGAAAGATTTCGAAAGTTCATGTCACGTTGAAGAGAGCAATGGCCTTAAACGGGTTTATATATAGCCGTACAGGTGTTGTAAACATGATGAGGAAGTTTACCGGGAAAAGAGAGTTGGTAAGAACCGCGATAACCAGATTTGCCACCGCTTACATCACTCTTCATTCAATACAAGTTCAAAAGGAAAACCTTAGAAAGATGTTTACTTCTGATGAATGGAGGAAGAGTAAATACTCAAAAGAGCATGGCGATAAAAGAGTCGCATCCATTGTTTTGATGCCTACCTTTTGGAGTACAATTGTGTATATCCTTAAGATGACGGGTCCTCTCGTAAAAGTGCTTAGGTTAGTTGATGGTGAAAAAAGGCCGGCCATGGGCTATGTATATGAGGCCATGGATAGGGAAAAAGAAGCAATTGCAAACTCCTTTAATAATGTGGAGGACAAGTACAAAGATGTGTTTGCAATTATTGACAAAAGGTGGGAATGTCAACTCCATCAACCATTACACGCGGCCGGGTGTTATTTGAATCCTCAGTTATTCTACTCAAATCCCCAAATTCAAGAGGATAAGGAGGTGATGATCGGGTTGCTTAAATGCATTGAGAGATTAGTGCTGAGTGTTGTTGATCAAGGTAAAATAGAGGACCAATTGTCACTTTATAGGAACGCCGAATGTATATTTGGGATGGCAATATGCATACGTCAAAGAGAAGTAAAGTCACCAGGTTACTTTCTTTATACGTATATAAAATAATATAAATCAAATTTAATTTTTGCTTGTTCTAAAACTTGTTCTAAAATATATATTTACAGCCGAATGGTGGGCTTCTTTTGGCAATGATGCACCGGAGTTAAAAAAGTTTGCCATCAAAGTCCTCATCCTTACGTGTAGTGCAAGTGGTTGTGAGCGAAATTGGAGTATTTTTAGCCTCGTAAGTAACTCGGATATCATTTAAGAAACATCATAAGTAATGTTTTTGACTCTTGATTATTCTGTTATAATTTGGCAGCTTCATAACAAAAGAAGAAACCGACTTGCGCAAACTCAGCTCAATAATTTAGTCTATGTGAAATATAATCGAGCGTTAAAGCGGCGTTATAATCATCGTGATGTCATTGATCCAATCTCTTTGGATGACATTGATGAAAGTAACGAATGGTTGCTTGGTAGAATGGATGAGGATGAAGAAGAAAATGAAGATTATGTGTTTGATGATGACGATTTGACATGGAAGGATGTTGGTATAGCTTCCGGAGCTTATGAGCGTGACCATAATACTAGAAGAAAGAACGTTGCTAGTTTAAGCTCGAAAGGAAAGGAAAAAGCTAGACCACACCTTGTAGATGAAGATGATGAAGTTGTTATGCTAGAGAGTGACACTGAAGAAGAAGACATTGGGGATTGTGAGACGGATGAGGAGGAAGATGATGACATACCACTTGACGATGATGATGAGGATTAGTTTGATGTTTGATGATGATTATCAGTGACTTTATTTGATGTTTTGTTTTTGCATGTTGAATGTTTTTGTTAAACTTAGTACTTGATTATGCTTGTTGATAACTTTTATGACGTTAGGTTGGTATTTTGAATTTGAGAATAAACTCTATTGAAGCCTAATATTGGGTATCTATGATATTTGAGTTTGATTGCATTAATATATACATGTGTTACAATTTTTTGGATATCATGCGCCTCGCCTTCGTGAATCCCACGCCTTTCATGCGCCTCGCGCCTCAAGGCTCCAGGACACTTTGCGCCTTGAGCCTTTGATAACTTTGGGAGGTAAAAAGCAAGTCATATTGATATACGTACCAGAACGTTTTTCAAAAAAAAATAGAGAGAGAGAGATACTGGGGAATTGAACAAAATCTTCAAAAAAAACCCAACTATTGTGTACCTTAAAATACTTTTCATCAGTCAAAACACTGAGGCAAGCGGCTCCACCCTTCTCATATGCCTGTGCTATCTCAACCTATAATGAGAAACATTTATATTTGTAGATGAAGATCATTCACTAATGAAAAAGACAGAATGATAAAAGAAAAATACATTGTTCTTTTAGTTCACTCTATCTGGATAGAAACTTGCTTTAAAATTTGTAATTTCCTTCCTACTATAATTTCAAGAATAAAAACTTAATCTTCTAGAGTACATATACTTCGATTCTTCTTCTTTATAAATGAGAGTTGAAGCAGGAAGTTGGCACATGTTTATTTTATAATTTATTTTATTTGTCAGATTTCAGAAGTATACATAATGAGGCCTTGATCTATACTCCAACCTCTTTTATGGATTTTCACAAATAAAAAATGGAGGTCAAGCCTCTAACCTTGTTCATGGAAGCATCTTGATTTTATGAAAAATCTAATCAAATTTTTAGCATCAACAGTTTCGATAAGAATAAAACAAGCAAGGTTAGAAGATTGATAAATTCCCCCATAAAATGCATTTATAAAATTTAATAAATATATTCATCCTCAAATAAACACAGTTCAACTTTCTAACACCACAACCATTTATACATGATAAACTAACTAGTAATTACCAGAAAGAAGCCAATAATGCTAATACTGGGATAATTTCAATCCATTATCAGTAGAATAATTAAAAAAAAACGCTAAATTAATATAAAATAAAAGAAAAGCCCTTTACCGGATCAAAATCCTCTCTTAGAATTCCTCTGCTAGGGGAAGCCTTCTTAACTTCAGCAATTAAACTAGGCATGTAACACCCCCAACCCGTATCCGACCCGGATCCGAGTTCGAAGTGCCACATGGACTTTTCAAAAACCTTTACTTGTATAAAATAGTGAGTAATTTAAAATTTATTATTACATATAACTTATTCAAAACCTTTATCGAACTATTCAGAGCTTATACAATATATTATCTTGAATACATGCCAACTAGAACTTTATGTATTCAAATACATATTATTTATCTTTCTTCTGATCTGACTTTTGGTAAGAAGAACTGACCTGTCTTGCTCCACGTTGCTCTTTACTCTTCTCACTTCTGTAACCTACGTGTGAAACAATCACACGCTAAGTCGTTGAGTCAGTGAGGCATAAAACATATAATAAAACTCTAACTCGTAATCCTGCTTGAACAATTTCTACTAACATATCACAAACAAGCATCACACCCACGTATACATATAATTATTTTCTTTCCTATCGTTATCATATTATCACCTTTCATATTTCTATTCTCTTGTTTATATGATCAATTAAGCTCATATCATATATCTTATAGCATATACAATAATCATTAACACACATATATCATATTATATAATTCATATCATAAAACACCTATATACATCACATACATTACATTTAATGATATCTCTTATTAGCCCATGTACACCTGTGAGAACTGTAGATATGTGAGTCTATTGAGGTTGTGCACCACTATGCTGTCACCACAGCTCATATAAATGTCCCGAAGGACATATCCAGAGGTCACAAAGACCCCGGTAACTATCCAGAGGTCATAAAGAACCTTGACAACTGTCCATAGGTCCCAAAGAACCTAGGTAAACTGTCCATATGTTCCTTAGAACATAGGTATACTGTCCATATGTCTCGAAAGACATAGGTAAAACCCTCGACTCTTGGCATGCCAACTATTCCTATAGCTCTCGTATCATATAACATGGGCATTATATTCATATCACTTCACATATTTACATGTACATTTCACTTTTCATATGATTTCATAATCATCTGTCACGTAACTTATAACACTTCTCTTGTGTTCATATGGCATGTAACTCATTGTCATCTCTTATTCTCATATGATTCTCATACATCAAGTATATCACATAGCACATAGTATAACATATAAACTTATACAGGTATCCATATACATACTTTCATATACTTCGAATAACAATGCCCTATAACTTCTCACAATTTTACCTAATCACTTATTTCACATTAATTATATTCTAGCTTCATATATTACTTAATTCAATTTCACATAGCTTGTTACCTATATAAATATTTTCTCATAACTTATCATCACATAGTTCCCATAACATTTTCCTACAGTTTCATAAATCTTTACCATATGACTCATGTATTATATGTTCATTTCAGCTCATATATCCTCTCCATATAACTTATTTTACATGTTCATATAATCACTTCTGTCAATGTCTCCTCATTTATATATTATTCTTATATTGTCCTATAAATCAATGTTATTTAACTCATCTCACTTTTCATCTAATCTCATAAGTTGGTTATACAAATTCCTATATATATGTATAAATATATATATATCTAACTCATGTAATTTATATCCTTTCTCTTGTTATCATATAAATCATTGCTATTTTACATAGTTCATGCTCCTATAATTTATATCTCAGGTTCATATAACTCATCTAATTCCTATAATACATAAATCATTACCATATAACACATATCATATAAATTCATACCACCTAACATGTAATACAACTAAGCATATTCATGTAATATCAAACATAATCATACAATCATATATTCAACATATTGGAAACAAACTTGTCGCAAGTCAAATTTCCATATACAATACGTATATTCTAATAGTACGCACTCACCTGGCCTCACTAGTCAATATCGATCTGTTATCTTTCCTTGATCGATCTTACTTGATAAGTTCTGGAACTTGTTTAGGCTCTGTATCTACATAATAATTCATTGATACTAATCAGTATACTAATTAATATATTCTAAACTATCATTTCTTGGGCTAAAAGAAGAGTCATTTTTATCTTTTAATGAAGGTATGCATCGATGCACTACACCATGCATCGATGCATAAATCCTATTCGATGTTTGTATTTAATGGGGATGCATCAATGCACTCCTTATGCATCGATGCCTAAATCCTATTCGATGTTTTCTTTTTAAATTAATGCATTGATGCACCGCATGTGCATCGATGCACCTTAAACAATTTCTGGGATTTATTTATTTTTGATAAGATTTGAAGGTCTCTTTAAAAACCTCCTTCTTGATTAATGGAGCTTGTAAATAAGCTTCTTAATCATCGGAAGGAGGAAAAGAGTACCTTATAATTTCATTAAAGAAAATAAGAATTACAACCTTGGAAAGAAAAATCCAAGTAGAACCCTTACAACAATTCTTGAGCCTTAAAACCGAACTATAGAAGTCAACAACATAATAATCAACCTATACCAGCCTTTGCTAGAGCATCGGCATCCATATTAGCTGTCCTTGCAATCCATCTAACAACCCCCCGACAGTTTTAAGACACTCAACAATATCTCTAACAATGAAACCATAAACAGCTGGACATGAGACAACCTTATTGATCCAGTCTACTGTAACTCTGCTATCACTCTCTATGATCAACCTATCTTTAACCCTCCCTAGGACAGAGGTAAAGAAAGAGATACCCCTTTGGATAGCTTTAAGTTCCTTCAATGTTGGAGGTCCAGAACCATCCGGTTCCTGAAAAGAACCAAGGATTGCACCAGAATAATCCCTCATAAGACCACCCAGACCTGATTTTTCCCAATCACAACTAATTGCTGCATCCACATTCAACTTGATGAAACCCGTAGGGGGAGGTAACCAAGGGGTTATGGAAGATTTCAAGAAATTGTAGGACGAGTAAGAATCCCCTATAGAAGGATCAGAAATTAAGGAGTCCTTAGGAATAGAAACATCCTTATTCTTTGCTAAATACCAAGAGGCCAGCCTAACTCTTGTTAAGAAGAATAATTCAGTCTAATCGAGCTTCCCCCTTCAAAAACTATGTAATTCCTGAATTTCCAGATTGTCCAAATAACAGCCCCAGGAATGAAAGTCCAAATTACCGAATTAGATTTCAACTCATCCCAAGCAAGAAGAAATTTTTTTGCTTCTGCAGAAAACACAGAACTAAATCTCCAAAAATTTAGAAATTTATTCCACAAAGACCACGCAACCGAACAGGAGAAGAATAGATGCGAAGAAGATTCTTCAACCATTTTACAAAGAGGGCATAAGCCATCCTCAATACCTTGAACTCCTCTTTTAACCAATTCGGATTTAACTGCAATTTTTTGAAGCACAATTTGCCAAACTAATGTTTCAACTCTAGGGGGAACCAATCATCTCCAAACAATCTTGTTCCAGAAATGAGACTCTTCTGAAATTGAAGCACAACTCTTAACACAAGAACCGACTTTATAAACCCCATCCCCACTGCCTTTCCAGATCAATCCATCGCTAGAATCAATAGATAGAGAGAAAGAAGAAATGATGCTCACCAAATTGCACCATTGTTCAAGCTCCCAATCGTTTAAATTTCTTCGAACTTTAACATCCCAAATCCAGCCCGAAGAAAGAAATTCCCCAAACTCACAAAGTTTACCGAATTTATTAGTTGACAGTGAAAACAGTCTAGGAAATAGAATCTGAAACGGAAAATCAGCAGCCCAGCTATCTTGCCAAAATCGAACATGCTTACCATTTCCGACATAAAACTTGTACAAACTACGGAACTTACAACCAAATGAGTCTTGTTTGAAATGGTTATTAACCACTGATCTCCACAACCAGGAGGATTGAGAAGGAATCTTGCTGTCAAACAATAATCTAGAAGAGTCAATGTTGTATTTGCTACAAATAAAATTCCTCCAAACAAAATTTCTCTCATTTGAAAACCTCCAAGACCATTTCCCTAGCAATGCTCTGTTCATAGAAATCAGATTCTGAACTCCCAAGCCTCCCTCATTCTTTGATTTGTAGACATCATCCCATTTAACCCAGTGTATCTTCTTAATACCATTGCCCCCTCCCCATAAAAAATTAGACATAATAGAATTGAGAGTCTTGAGGATAGAAGCTGGAATCTTGAACATAGACAAAAAATACGTAGGTAGTGAGGACAGAACGGATTTGATCAAAACCAGTCTCCCTGCTAAAGAAAGAGTAGCAGCCTTCCAACCTGCTAATTTAGAGTGAAAATTCTGTACCACTGGTTCCCAGATAACAGAGGAATTCCTAGTAGCACCTAGTGGGAGGCCTAGATAATTAGATGGGAAGTTTCCCACCAAACAACCAATAGAATCTGCCCAAGTTTTAACCTCCTGTTGGGATATATTAATTCCGAAGAGTCTGCTTTTCTTAAGGTTTAGTTGCAGCCCTGACATAACCTCAAATACTCTAAGCACCCTCTTCACATTCATAATTTGAGTCTTCGAAGCTCCACAGAAAATAATTAAGTCATCCGTAAACTGCAAGTGTGAAAGATTAACCCTCCTCCTTGCCAACTGTCAAACCAGCAAATAAACCCTACGAAACAGCTCTTCGGATTAAAAGATTCAATAATTCCCCCACTAGGTTAAAAAGTAAAGGCGAGAGTGAACATCCCTGTCTAAGGCCCTTGGCCATTGGAAACTCCTCGGATAGAACCCCATTAACTAACACTGAGATTGAAGCTGTAGAAATACATCTCCTAATCCAACTTATCCATGTGAAACCGAAACCCATTTTTTCCATCACCTTGAACAAAATAGGCCAGTCAACCGTATCGTATGCCTTTTTGAAATCAACTTTAAACACACAACCCTTTAGCCCTTTCTTCCTCCAATAATCAATACCCTCGTTAGCAATGAGTGAGCAGTCCAAAATTTGTCGACCGGGAATAAAAGCAAATTGAGTCGGGCTTATAAGATCTCCTATACAACTTCTAAGCCTCCTTGAAAGACACTTGGATAAT